CTCTGGGCTGATCTACTGTAAGTCAGGGCATGGCTATCTTACATATTCAATTGGAATGTAGTGACTATTTTTGCAGATAGCTCGAAAACTCGAAAACCTTTTTTGAATGTGTAACGAGGAAGATGATTATGATGACAACACTGAAAATGGTTATGATATTTAAACAATTTAATAATATATACATTTTTAAACCAGACATTGACTCTATTAATGATGATGATGATGAAGAAGACGATGGTGATGATGATGACACTGATGATGGTGATGATAATAATGATGAGGAAGACGGCATTGAAACTGAAGACACTCTTGATGTGGACTTAAATGATGATGATGATGATATCCCATCAAACTCTGACCAGTGTCCCATCTGCCTGATGTCTCTTGGAGGACAAAAGCTTGGCACTCCCAGCGAATGCAAACATGTATTCTGCCTGGCATGCATCATGGAATGGTCTAAGGTCAGCTAACTATATTCTATATATTCTTTATTCTATTCTATTAGAGTACAAACACTAAAAGTGTGCAGCACTTTGCTCTATTTAGTAGTAAATAGTGCTAATTAAACAATAGAAAACAATAGGATTAGCATAATTCAGCAGTATTTAGTGGTATTTAAGTTGCACACTTATAGTGTTTGTACTCTAGCTTTTGGCTGTTGTATAACAGCATGGGACAATCACAACAGCTATTTCTAAGCTCCATAAGTGAAATCTCAAATTGGAATTTAGAAGTTGATTTTTAAGAAGGTAGGAAAACTGGAGAACCCGGGGGAAAAAACGTCCTTTTTTTCACAAGGGTAGCACTTAATAGCCAGTGGCCAACAAACCTGTGGCCCTCATTCCATGATCAAATTGGAATTTTAGGAGTTGATTTTTGCGGAGGGAGGAAAACTGGAGAGAACACAGGAGAGACCCAACAAACAACTCTACTCATATACAACACCGAACCCGGCGGGACTCAAACTCGGGTCGCATTGATGAGAGGCAAGCGCTCACACCGCTACACCACCCGTGCTTCCCTAAAAACCCCTCAAAGGACAGAAGACAACCAACAAACAACTTACTCACGGAAGACTCAAAGCCTGGAAATCAAACCCTGCGCGGCATTGGTGAGAGGAAGCACAGTAGCATCGCACACCACTCTCCTAATTTCAAGGCTCGAAACAACAGCCAATTAATGGGGGACTAGTTAGCACAAAAATCATCCAAATTTTAATTCAGCTGAAACTTTACTAGAATAATCCATAAAAGGTCTAATAATCACTGGTTAAAGTTTTTTCCCGATATTTGGATGGGAAGTATTATATTTTAATAAATTTTTATAGAGTCTGTGACATCATACACTCAACACTAAGCAACACTCCATACATTTCTTTGTAAATAACTTCATGTTTTACTTTATTTCTATTGAGCCCAAAGGTCTTCTTAGGGACTTAACGTACATAACATGTGGTTAGAACCATTTTATGGTATCTTTTCTTCAATACTGAGTTTAAAACTAGAAGATATTTTGATTACAAAATACAAACATGGTGGGGTCGTTTATCTACAACTAAACTAAGCTAACTAATTTAATCAACATAGTCAACGATATTAATATACAGTCAATGTCATTAACGTTGTCCACCGAAAAAAGACATTTACACATTTAGACATTTAGACTAAAGTGAGCCTGAACTTTAAATGTAAAATTCAACTCGTGAATCGAAAATCCAGAATACCCRAACATTTAGTGAGGATTTAAGATGGAGAATGTTATTTCAGCGTTTGTTTTATGCCAGAACGTTCAAGGAAACACGTGATATTTCTTTTAGTTTAAATGTGTAAATGTGTAAATGTGAATGTCTAAATGTCTTTTTTTCGGTGGACAACGTTAATGACATTGACTGTATATATATAAACCTACTTGCAAGAACGTTGTCATACGAAAATAGAACATTAGTGATTTAGTGGGATAGGAATTATATTAAAAAACAAAAGAAGCTCACTGAAGCTGAATTTTTTCTTTTGTGTTTTAATGTATTCCTTTCTCACTAAATCACTAATGTCCTAATATCGTATGACAACGTTCTTGCAAGTAGGTGTATGACCTATAAATGACTAATTGTATTTCAATATAAAACTATCTAAAATAATGTTTTTCTTTTGTGTGTGTATGTGTGTGTAGAATGCCAATACTTGTCCTGTTGACAGGAAGGTGTTCCGAGAAATACTCGTGCATTTAACCAAGAAGGGAGCAATTTTAGAACGAGTAAGTCATCCAAATGTATACGCCTATTTAAATAAGCGTTGTCGTTCAGAGATCTGAAATCTGAGACTGAGTAACATGTTGCAAAATGTAATGAATAGGCCATTTGCAGCTAAGCAATCACGTGCTGATTAATTCACTGAGAGCAAATGAATCGAACATTTTGATTCCCATGGGTGAAATTTACTGGACTGCAAACAAACTTTCTACAACCTGTTTCGAGAGATCGTAATAAAACTACATTTTGTAACACACTGGATACACATGTTTTCATTCAGTTCTTTACAAGTAGCTAAAAAGAATCACCAATGTAATATAAAAACAAAAATTTTGCAGTCCAGTACAGACACGTGACCGTTAACTGCAAAGGGCCTATTCCCAGCCGGGCAACATAGTTTCCTTTTAGATTGGAATATGAAGCACGACATTTGATTTAGAAATGTGATTTGTTCGTATTTTAACCAGAAAACGTGAAAGCCCAAAAATTCTGTTTAGTCTCAGGTCGCGCATTTCAGTTTTACGATCGACAACGTTTTTTGAAAATTGATGGGTTGCAAGCATTCCCAAGAGAGTTAAAAGACAAAAACATGGCGGCCATTGTGGTACCGTGCTAATGAGAAATCTTTTGTTAAATGGTACCAACATGGCCGCGATGAAGTAACATGCAAACGAAGAATCCATAGGTGTATATAGAATGCTGAAAATTATCATTCGATACGCCAGATTTCAATCGCCGATTTTGCTGAAAAATTGCAGTCTACCCATAATCTCATCTCAAAAACGGCGTTTGGCTCTCGGTGTCCGTATTAGAGAGGTTTCACTTTATAAACGATTTTAACTTCGTTGTCTTTGGCTTTGACAGATTCCAGTTGAAGACAGAAGTGTGCCTGAGATAGGATGGGAACAGGAACCGACCTTCTGTGAGGTACAGTAACTTAACATTCCGTCGATTGATGGGTTGCAAAGCATTCCCAAGATAGTCAAATGATAAAGACATCAGTAGCGGATCCGGGGGGGGAGGGTCGAGGTCCGGACGTTCTCCCTGTCATACCTGAGGTTCAACTGATTGTTTTGTCTCAGAATTTAGTTTATTCACAGGTTTTAAGAAATGTTGTGGTTTTTTTAGAAATTGTTTTGATGTGTAACCGGGGGGGGGGGCATAGAAGTGAGTGGTCGTGAAAAACAGGTTTTTCTTAGTGTACGTTTGGACCTCCCCCCTTCCCTTTCCAAAATTCCTGCTTCCTTCCTTGGGCATGGCGGCTATCTTGGTGCGTTTAACAATACGTTAATGTGAAGTCTTTTGGTAAATACCACCAACATGGTCGCCATGACGTAACCTAAAATCGAAGAATAGCTGTAGCGTCGTCCCTGGCAATTTGAGAGTATTCTGGAGTCATTTTTTTCTCATTTGTTGGCCTATCAGGTGTGYCATGAATGTGATAGAGAAGATCGGATGTTGTTGTGCGATGGCTGTGACAAAGGGTAGGTAAATTTAACACAGAAATCTCAATTTCCGTTATTTTAGAGTGCCCGTTTCCATAGTTTGATTGTTCACACTTTAATCGTTTTGTTATCTAGTTATCTAGAGCATTCTACCAAAGAGTATCAACCACGCACGTGCCCCTCATTAGAATGTTGTTTTACTCTCTAGCTCATTTGCGTGCTAGAGACGCTTATGTGAAATCGTTCTGTCTGTCATGAAATGTTTTTTGAAACACTGGGCTGATCAAAGCACGACTTAGGTTCAGGTCAAACATCGAACTTCACATGAGCCGAACTAAATTGAAAATTTGGATAACAAGGGGGTCTTCTTTGATGTCATTAAGTTCCGCTCATGTGGAATTCGACGTTTGACCTGAGGCTAATAGACGTCTTCTCCTTGGAAATTAAAACTCCGTGTCCCGTAAAACTCCAATTTCGAATACTCTGTTGTACAGGGTTATAGCCTCGATTTTGTATTACTTTGAATATTTATATTTTYCAGTCAAGGTCCTTGGAATTTCAAAGTGTTTATATTTTCTAAAGCTGTGCATTCTTTACTTTACCGTTGGTATTTGTGAAGTAGACACTGATACGAGGCTAACCCTTTATAAATGAGTCTGTGGTCAAGGAACACAGCGGTATTTGACTAATGTGAAAATGGTCTATTCAGGTATCACTTGGAATGTCTAAGGCCTCGGCTTTACACGGTACCCGCTGGCTCGTGGTACTGCACCACGTGTATTGAAATTCGACGAAACGAGCAGATGGAAGAGGAAGGAGATTCTGTACCTGACCTGTTGCCAGGCAACGCAAGACGTTCACGTGGTACAGTACGGGCTTCGACGAGAAGCGAGACAAGTAGTGAGACAAACGAAACAGGTAAAATTATGGACCACATGATTTTTCCTTGAGTATGATTTCTTTTACGGAGGAAACCTAATTGCGTAGCATCATGTTGTAAAGATATCAGTCCAACATCAGTCGAGCAAATCAGGGTTCGATATGTGAGTCAGCCATGCCCTGACTTAGATCAGCCCAGAAGTTGTTTCAGGGTTCAATCTGTGAGTCAGCCGTGCCCTGACTTAGATCAGCCCAGAGGTTGTTTCAGGGTTCGATCTGTGAGTCAGCCATGCCCTGACTTAGATCAGCCCAGAGGTTGTTTCAGGGTTCGATCTGTGAGTCAGCCATGCCCTGACTTAGACTAGCCCAGAGATTGTTTCAGGGTTCAATCTGTGAGTTAGCCATGCCCTGACTTAGATCAGCCCAGARGTTGTTTCAGGGTTCCATCTGTGAGTCAGCCGTGCCCTGACTTAGATCAGCCCAGAGGTTGGTTTGGTCGAGTGTTTTATCTACTTAGTAACTTCTATTTTTATTTTTTTACGACAGATAGGCCGCAAAGAGCACGAACCGCTGCTAGTAATAGACGACGATCATCTTCAACTCGAGGTCGAGGTAGGGGACGAGGAAGGACTGGTTCTCGTTCTTYAGGCCGCGGGAGGTCTAGGTCGAGTACTACTGCACGCTCGAGGACTGGCTCTACTACACGACGCGGTCGAGGAGGAAAGAAGAAAACAAGAACACGAACGGGACGAACCTCTTCTACCACAGGTAAACCTAAGAGGAAGAAACGAAAAACCACCACTACCAAGAAAAAGCGCCGATCGACGACAAAATCAAAAGCGAAAAAGCGGAAGGCAGATAATGAAGATAGTTATCGTAATCCTTTCGAGGCACAGTCACTTCGAGGACGCACCCCAAGGGAGAGGCTCAACAATAATTTAAGAGCATCTGGCAGTGCTTCTGATCCAGGGCGTGGACTTGGGACGCTTTCTATATTTGGTGACCATTACGCTCTAAATGGGTTTGAAGACGACAGCACGAATGAACCGGAGCAATCCGATTCATCGAGGTGAGTTATTTTACAAGTGTCTGGGACCCTGTAGGTCAGTGTCTTCTTCCTTAATATTGATTGGCACCCACAACACGATGCATAAGACCCTTATGGTGTCCGATGACTTAACTTAACTTGTTTTAATAAGAGCTTTCTATTTATTGATTGGTACCCACAACACGACCCTTTAGTTGTCCGAGGAAGGGTTTTCTAAGTATTGATTGGTACCCAGAACACGATCACTTAGGTGCCTGAGGACTTAACTTCACTTGTGTTGACAAGGGCTTCTAAGTATTGACTGGTACCCATAACACGACCACTTAGGTGCCTAAGGACTTCACTTGTGTTGACAAGAACTTCTTAGATATTGGTTGAAACCCACATCATAATATTTGGGACCCAATTTTGATTTATATGGTAATTTCTTTATTTTGTTTGTAACAGCGTCAAGTCAGGCCATTCCGACGTCCTTGGCTCAATATTTAATGGAATTGAAACTCTCCATGACGAGAATGCAACAGTATCACGTGATGGCCGTGTTCTGCCTTCAGAGTCATATGACAAACGCAGTCCAAATAAGGGAAGTCAGATCAAGGGTATTGAAAGCGGCTCATCCAATGAAAACCCTGGTAACTTCTCACGTGATCAGACTGGAAACAAAGATGAAACCTTAGTGAATTCACCTTTGGTAAAAAAAGAAAAGGAAACAATCGAAAGGAATGAAGATTACCAAACAGATTTACAAAATGTGGCTTTAGGCTCGAACAAGCTGCATGAGAACCCAGGCGCTTCCACTGAACAAATACAAGGTGCAACATTAGAAAATAAAAATTTTAGAGAAAGTTTTAGAGAAAATTTGCGAAATAACTCTTCTGTTACTTCTGATCTTCATAAAAAGTCAGCAAAACCAAAGCTAAAGAGTGGACCATCTTCAAAACTTCCATCTCCGACAGTAGCACATTCCTCTTCTTCAGTCTCCAGTTCTAAAAGGTCACTGAAAGAGCTAACGCCCTCCCCCGCAACATACGTGCGATTCAAAATACCTAAAAAGTCCTCTCCGTCACTTGATTCTTCGTTTTCCCGAGAAAAGGATTCACCTGGAGCCTTGGACGCTCTCGATTCCGAGATGCCTCATTCTACTGCTAGCCCAGACAGTCCAGTGTGTCAAACTCCAATCTCTACTAAGAAAGATTCTTCTCGATACGATAAGTTCTCTACTCATGATTCCAAGGTTTCTCACGATTCTACTGATATTCCAGACAGTCCAGTGTGTAAAACTCCAATCTCTACTAGGAAAGATGCTTCCCAACGGAAGAGGATGTCTCCTATTTTGTGGACTGATAAAGACAAAGAGATCAAGAAGTTACCAGAATTTAAAGTGGATGATRATACTTGCAGAGCAAAATCCACCACAGTCTGCCCCATAGCGCGCTTGCCTAGATCATCCACACCGTCGAGTATACCTTTAAATAACGAAATAACTTCCTCACAAGATAAGAAAATAAGTTCGAGCAGTGATCAAAAGAATGATTTTACTTCATCCACTCGTAATCTTGAAGAAAAATATAAAACAAGTTCAAAGCTAGACGACGCGAAATCTGATTTAAGAAGTATTTACAACTCACATCGATCTGCATTTTCTCCAGTGGCTGAGACCAACGACAAACAAGAGGCTAATGGAAAGCATGTGGCAACTGGCGATACTTCTCTTTTGGGAAATCAAAACAGTAAGCCGTCTCTCCAACATCTTCCGACTTCTTTAAGAACTTCTTCGCCTTTGACTGCTAACATTCTTGGACCGCGGCCATCATCATCAGGTTTGATCGGTTCAACAAATATCGGTTCGCCAGGAGGAACAGAAAAAGAAAAACGGAGAGGTCTCTCACCATTGTCTAAATTATTGGGACCTCGGCCGTCAACTGGTTTGACTGGTTGTGCAAGTACTGGTTTGTCAAGAAAGACAGACAAGCAGTCATCATCTGGGCAAGACGCCCGCGTTATAAGATTTACTGGAGGGAAAGGAGAGATAAAAATTAAAGTTGTGCCAAGTCAAGACGAAACACACCCATCCTTACGAAGTTTGCCCGAAGAAACGATTCCTGTCTTACGAAGTTTACCCGAAGAAGCCCATCCTGCCTTACGAAGTTTACCCGAAGAAGCCCATCCTGCCTTACGAAGTTTACCCGAAGATGCTCATCCTGCCTTACGAAGTTTACCCGAAGATGCTCATCCTGCCTTACGAAGTTTACCCGAAGAAGCCCATCCTGCCTTACGAAGTTTACCCGAAGAAGTCCATCCTGCTTCACGAACTTTACCCGACGAATTTCTTCCTACTCTGCGGAGTTTACCTCCACCTTCGATTGTCGAACCACCACTCMCCTTTCTAAACACAGCGCAACAACTTTCTTCTCTCAAACCCCTGAAGCGCGTTGCTAAGCAGCCAGCAAGGCCAAAACTGAAAATGCTATCAACTTCTGAGACATCGCAGCCAGCTTCTGGTACTTTGACCAGCGGTGTTCAACCATCGCGTGAATTTTCTAATCGCACCGTTCAGAACCTCGCAATAATTCAAATGCTTCGACATAAGACGTCCAGCCTGAGGACAGAAGTTGAAAAAGGACATTCGTTTCTGCGAAAAGAACTCGAGTCTAGCAGAAGAGAAGCGTCAGAAACCGAACCTGATTCTATGAGCAGCCCAAGTTCAACTTCTACAGCACGGCTTCCTCTCGAAGGGTCTCTGGATCAACAGGAATTGAATACTAATCGTCCAAAGCTTTCCTCACTTCTTGGATCGCCTAGGAACGCCAATTTACCAGTTGCTGTAGTTCGACCTTCTCTATCTTCTGCTGCCTCTGGCTACAAGAACCCAGATGCTTTTTGTCGCCAGACGGTTTCTTTTGCTGGCTTTGCTGATTCTGATGCAAATGGTTCTCAAATTTTAGAATCTGAAAGAGAGAAAAATAGAAGAAAGGTAAAAAAAAAGCCCTCACTTTGTGAACTTTTCCTTTTTATAGGACGTTTGCACGATGGCATCAATGACCTCTACTACCAGACTCCATTGCACCAATTGTGTTAGTATTCTCATGAGAGAATACAAGTTTAGATAAGAAAGAAAATTCGCGAAGCATCTTGGTATTGGGAGTCAAATGACGCCATCATGAAAAAATCCTATTACCGGGTTTCACTTGACATTGATTTTTAAGGGTTTTTCTCCAGATTCTCCGGTTTTCCTCCCTCCGAAAAAGTATCAATTTATAAACTTCCCCATAATGCCTTGCGTTTTTGGGGGGTAACCAATCAAAAAACTGTCCCAAATTGAAAAGTTTCTTAATTGAATCTATRCTATACCTGCTTTTATCTGTAGAATACTGATTATCAGTTTATTSGRATTTATTTTTGCGTGTACAGATCATCAAGAGTTTTGGTCTTACAGAAAATGTATTGACTTACGAAAAAATGTTTAAATTTTACCTTAAACGTCTTCAAGCTTCTATCTTTTTCTATTTTTTACTTCTTCATTTTATCTTTGGATACCAAACAAGGTATTTTCAACATTTTCTGATCAGCCTTCAGCAAAATAARTGGGTTTTTACCCTCTGGTTACCCCCCAAAGACGCAAAGGATTGTGGGGATGTGAAAGTTGAGAATACAAGTATTTAACGTGTTTCTTTTCCCCAGGGTATTGCTCGACTACAGCGCATAGAGAGGATAAAGGGCGTTATCAAGGAATCGTTACAACCTTATTATGACCACAACGAAATTACCCGTCAAGATTTTAAAGAAATTTTTATTCGAGCTGTTGACAAAGTAAGTGTGGTTCAGTGTGCTATGACATCCTCTATATTTTCATTGTTTCGGCCCCAGGATTTACTGTTTGTACTGTTTGTTATGTAAATTGTATGGAGAGGGAATATCAATTGGGACGAAAGTTCTGTTTTCTTCGCCAGTCACAAAATTTGTATGTCTCAAGTTTTATAAAATGTATATGTTTATATTGTGACAAATAAACTAAACTAAACTAAACTAAACTAAACTAAACTAAACTAAACTAAACTAAACTACTGTAAGGGTGACAAGTTTTCGGTGTTTAAAATACTTTCTCTCAAGAATTTCTTTTCTAGAGTTGGCATTTCTTTTTGCCTCAAAAGACAAAATAAATATGATTCTGAGAAATTCATTTTAAACTAACCAGCTTTTCCAGTTACCTGGTCTCAAGTAGCCAATAGTCCCTTTCACAATTCCCTGCGCCATCTTGAAAGGTAGCCGTGACTTTGCATCGAAGAGAGACGAACGATGAGCTTGCAATGATAGAGACATGTGAATAATTGTCCAAGGTGTTAAAAAAGGTCTCTATCATTGCAAGCTCACCGTTCGTCTCGCGTCGATGCAAAGCCACGACTACCTTTCAAGATGGCGTAGGGAACTGYGAAGGGGACTATTGATCACAAAGCATTTTTTTACGGTGACGAATAGGACGCGGTCAAATGAATTCAAAATTTTGATTGGAATCTTGGGGGTGTGATAAGGGGTTGATTAAGAAAATTAGCATCTGCAAGATTGGTAGGGTTGACGATGCGAATGTTGACATTTTCAAAATGGCGGCTATTTCGTCTCTTAAATAATAATAATAATAATAATAATAACTTTATTTCTATAGCGCTTTTACCTATGTTCAAAGCGCTTTACAAACAATATAACAAATATAAATAATTACTGAAATATCAAATAATCAAAAAYCTAACTACTAAACTATCTTAATGACTACATTCTATAAAAATATAATAATCTAGTAATTATAAATATATATATATAAAATGAATAACTAATCTTAAAAACTAACCATAAGCCTCTTTATATAAAAATGTTTTTAGCTTTTTCTTAAAGCTATCCAAACTTGAACATAATCTAATATCTTGGGGAAGAGTATTCCATAACACAGTCCCAGAATGCACTGCGGCAATGTCAACTCGAACCAGTTTTTTCCTCGACATAGGGATTGGCTAGTAAGTTAAGTTTTCAATAACGTTTTTTCAGGTGAAAGATTCCAATCATGAAATAGACCGCCATCGCATAGCCTTACTCGTGAAGAAGTACGTCAAGATGTTCAAAGGACTGCGTGTAATAGGAGCCAAACACAACAGTAATTTATGACGCCACACACAAGTAGGAAGGTAGATTGATGTATATAGATAGATATAAATGGGCGTAGATTTTATTAATGTGCAATAATGTGCAAATCTTTTTAAAACCAGAATATTTAATAGCTTATTTAATAACTAGACCCTACGAGTCAATAGTCCATGAGSCCGAAGGCAGAATGATTGAGCTATTGACTCGTCGACCATTAAGTGTAAACCTTTTAGTTGTTCAAATAAATGGATACGAAAGGCCATTCGCAGGTTTGATGTAATGCGGATTATTCAACAGCCGACAGATGACTGGAGGGCAAAGAAATGATTATGCGCTTACCTCTTTATTTTAAGCAATAGTCCCCTTCACAGTTCCCTGCGCCATCTTGAAAGGTAGCCGTGCCTTTGTATCGAAGCGAGACGAACGATAAGCTTGCAATGATAGAAACATGTAAATAATTGTCCAAGGTGTTAAAAAATGTCTCTATCATTGCGATCAGTCAGAGGTTCATAGTTTGAACTCATAAGGTCTCGCACACTCCTCGTTTACATATCGACTCTCGGAAGAACACTGGGCAGTCAGAAACATTAGAATTACTATTTTGATTAAAATCATTTTGAATAGCATTTTAATAATATAACATATGAAAGAAGACAAGATTGGAAAAACGTTTTAATGATAATCATCTAATATGTTGTATATTTTTCAATAGAAGTATGAAGTATGTGGTGCTTTGAGTAGAAACTTATCTCGATTCATGCCAGCATTAATTACGGACACCMTATGGCTTTCGACGCTGATGTCAGTGATGGTCGGTTTAAATTTGCTTTAGATTATAGCGGTAGCGTACTCGTCTCTCGCCTCAGCTGTCTCGGATTCGACTCGCAGATTCAGCATCACTCGTGAGTAGTGTAAGGTTTCACCCTTGATCGAAGTTTTTTYATCCGAGTTCGCTGTAAAACTCAACACTCTAAATTCCAATTCAATCTGTGAGTTAGGTTAGATGTGCCTTGACTTTCATCAGACAAAAGGGTTGTTTCAGGTATCGATATGTGGGTTAGTCACAGAGTTTGTTTCAGGGTTTGATCTGTGAGTTAGCCATGCCCTGACTTAGATCAGCTCAGAGGTTGTTTCAGGGTTCGATCTGTGAGTTAGCCATGCCCTGACTTACATCAGCACAGAGGTTGTTTCAGGGTTCAATCTATGAGTTAGTCGTGCCCTGACTTAGATCAGCCCAGAGGTTGTTTCAGGGTTTGATCTGTGAGTTAGCCGTGCCCTGACTTAGATCAGCATAGAGGTTGTTTCAGGGTTTAATCTTTGAGTTAGCCGTGCCCTGACTTAGATCAGCATAGAGTTTGTTTCAGGGTTTAATCTTTGAGTTAGTCGTGCCCTAACTTAGATCAGCCCTGAGGCTTTTTTAGGCCAAATTCAAAGTATTAAGTTTGTTTACGTCTAAAACTGCGCTATTAGGCTTGCAAAGGAAACCAGAAAATTAATTGARTTCTTCATTAAAAAAAGGGCGCACAAATTGGTTCCTGAAATTAAATTATATCTGAGATGCGGTTTCCTTAAGGTAGAGTAATAAATCATTGTTTAGGCAAAGTTAAAAGAATTTCTCAACCGTTTTTATTAATTGGCAGCCATTCTGTTAACAAATCGCCCTTAGGGATACTGGAATGGTATTTAACACTGATAGACGGGTAAATTTTACACCGTAAAAAGATGAAAAAACTTACTGACGTTTAGGACGCTAGTCCTTCTTCGGAGTAAAAGAGAAAGAGGTGGTAGAAAGGAGTGCTTAGATACTAAGAACAATATAAAAGAAACCAATGAGAACAAGGTAAATAGTATTTATTTTATTGTGAACAATCAGAGAGAAATGCCAAGAACTAGACGACATGCCAAGTTTTCTCAAATCATTTCATTTCTAGACCTCTATGTTTATTAGAGTTTTAGTATGGCGCAAACCCAGTTGTCTTTTTTGGGTCAAATTATCAATATCACCATCATCATCCCCACCACCATCATCATCATTATCATCATTATCATCATGTTTTATTATTCGACTTCCTCGTCTTGGGCGTAATGTTGTCCCATTTCAGACCCCGTGTCATTCCCTAGAATATCCTTTCTTTGTTAACGATTGCGCTCGGTTGCACATGAGAAGACACATGAATATGTATACAGCTCAAACAAAGAATCTTATTCTCAAGGGAATGACACGTGGTSTGAAATAGACAACATTACACCCAAGCCGTGGAGGTTTACTGTAACTAGAAGAGATTGAGACTGACGTCAATTAATSAAGTATTACTTTTAAACAATTTTTCCCGAAAACAGAATTAAATCTTTATTCTTATTTTACAACATGTATGATAAAACAATAACTGAATTCGGTTTAAACGAGGAAACATGTGTTTCTAGAAACATGTTTTCTTAAATGTTTCCAAAGGTGGCAAAACTGTCAGGGAACATCGGGAAACATGTTTACTCAATATAGGTTAGCGCATGCGCACTTTCAAGATAGAGCTAGCGTTGCTAAGTAACGAACTTTTAGAATGTTGACTTTCGTGGCTAAACGAGGAAACATTGGGGAACATTGTTTCCATGCGTCTTGGAAGCATGAAATGTTTCTGCAGCACAGCAGAAACATTTTTGCAAAATTTAATAAAGCAAATTATTTTGTATGAAATAGTACTTATATCAGGGTTCGTGCTACTCCTTAAACTCCTTGAAAACTCCTTGAATTTAATTCACGTTTTCAAGGGCACTTGAAGAAAAAAAGCTCTTGAATTTTATGATTTTAGCGAAACTCCTTGAAAACTCCTTGAATTTTTGCTTTGATCATTACTTGCATGGTTCTGAAATAGATCTAGTCAGAAAGATTGGAAAATCTGAAAGTCGGCCATGTGCAACCACCGTGTAAAACCTTGGCATATTTAGCTGAACATACTCYTTGAAAATTCATTTTTGGGTCCTCGTATACTCCTTGAATAGTCCTTGAATTTTAAGCGCTTACCTCAGCACGAACCCTGTTATATAGCTGCCTAATTAATCCCATATCAACAAGACCTGTCCAATTAAGAAAATAATTGGACAGTTACCTATATGAGATTAAGGAGAAGCTGTATTATTATTTTCATTGGACAGATCTTGTTGATATGGGGTTAATTAGGCAGCTATATAATTAATAGGTAATGGGATTTCATGCTCCCCAATCAAGAAATAATTAGACTCGAAAAATTCCTCTGACTGCCAAATTACCAATTTTGTCAGTCCTCGGAATTTTCCTCCTATTTTTTTTCTTAATTGGACAGCATGAAGTCCTACTACATATACTAATTGGACAGTTACCTATATGGGATTAATGAAAAGCTGTATAATTAATACTAATTATTGTGCACGGGTTTAGTGCGTGCACTCTATCATTTATCATCGTAAAAATTATTTGTTTTCAATACTTTCCTTACCTTCGTTGAAAAATACCTATTTCTATTTATTTTCATGGCGTTCTATAATCATTATGCGTTCTATAATTAATATATATTTATTGTAGATTATTTAACATCAGAAAAAATCTGTTAACATTTGGTCAGCTACGATTTCAAGCTCACGCCCCCTCATATGAGCCCATACAAATTATGTCTCAAAAACACGGTTTTTGGATCTTTTTTCAAAATAATGAATATCTAGGCAAAAAACAGAAGTGAATTCAGTTAATTCAACTATTCACAGACTGTATGATATGGTTTAGATTGAATTCTATTGAAAAAAAACCACCGTACTTTTTGAGTTGAGGAATGTACGCTATTGGATGTATTTTACAAGAGAAAATGCATGACATAACCGGGGTCAAGCTAGAAAATCGCCTCTCCTTGAAATAAAACAGAACCTGTCAAAAAAAACAGAAGTGGATTTGAAAACCCAGGGCTTTCCTGAACATTTTGGTATATAATTCATATATAATTCGTCACGCAAACTAAAAGTTTCTGTTTGTTTGTTTTTATTGAATTCTTGTATATAAAAATAAGTTACTCTGTACACAACTTGTTGGTATATGCTAAAACAAACAACTCGGTGAATATGGAGAATATTTACCTCGCTGCTCGAAGACTCGTGTCTCGGTAAATATTCCCCGATAATCACTTCGCCTTCGGCGAATAATTGCTATATATAAAGGCTTAGTGGCAGTGTACCTCCTGTGACAAACATATCTTATGGAAAAACCCATCTTAAGAACTTTTAAATATGTCTCCGTTTTCGATTTTTTTGGGGGGTTTTTTGTACATCATGAAATGACGACCTAATTTTTTTAATTCTCTACTTCAACATCCCCATAATGCCTTGCGTCTTTGGGGGATAACCAATCAAACAACTGTCCCAAATTGAAAGGTTTCTTAATTGAATTTATACTATACCTGCTTTTATCTGAACAATACTGATTATCAGTTTATTCGAATTTATTTTTGCGTGTACAGATCATCAAGAGTTTTGGTCTTACAGAAAATGTATTGACTTACGAAAAAAATGTTTAAAATTTACCTTAAACGTCTTCAAGCTTCTATTTTTTTCTGTTTTTTACTTCTTCATTTTATTTTTGGATACCAAACAAGGTATTGTCAACATTGTCTGATCAGCCTTCAGCAAAATAAGTGGGTTTTTACCCTCTGGTTACCCCCTAAAGACGCAAAGATGGGAATGTGAAAGTAGAGAATAGTACCAAAAAAAAAAAAAAMAAAACAAAAAAAAATAGACTCTACTTCTTAAATTAACTTTACAAAATAATAGTCTGTTTACATGTAGTATGAAGTTGTGCATGTGTAAATATAGTCTTGACTGCATGTAAAAATCAAGCAATCATTTGCATATTTATGGCATCGAGATCTCGATGATCGACACGATCTTTTCTGTGTTGTGTAATTATTTCAGAAATACTCTTTCTTAGTTATCAAAAGACTCCATGCTGGGAAAATYGATAATTTTCTTGGTGCACGGTTTATTAGAAGTGATTAATCTTAATTTTTTTGGCAAGGAAATCATCAGGCTAAGCCCGTAATTGCAGTAAGTATGAACAGGTGTTTCATGTAAAAAGAAAACATGTTTTATCTTTGTTCTCGTCTTGAATTTTTTGTTCTTGTTTTCGAAAACAGTTAGAGTGACTACAGTAAATCCGTGAAACTTTAGTAATACTAAATAGCACAATTTCATTCAAATTCCATTGTTTTCTATTGTTTAACCAGCACTATTTTGTACTATTTAGTA